GCGACCGTGCAGATATACCATGCCACCTAATCCGCGAAGTCAGAGCACCAGAGGTTAGCAAAAGGCGAGAAAGACCGACATGTCTCAGAAATGGACAGTAGGAGCTCATACCACTTGGCCAACGTCCGGACGAGCCATGGCGATGGACGTGCGATACTTCGGACGCTCACGACAACAGCAGAGACGTGCAAGGACGAAGAGGCATATTTTGGATCTTATCTGGGGGGCATCCTTGTTAACCCAGGATTAATAACTATCGGACCAGGGGAAAAAGGTCCTTGTCTCCAGGCAAAATTTCTCGGCCACTCGGTGGTGTTTGCTGCTTGTCGCTGAAGAAGTTTAAGTTTAGCTCAACTAGAACCAGGGCATGGCAAACCCAAACTGTAAGGGAGGTATGGAACTGTTCTGTCTTGCATTTGGTCCGCCAGTCATTCTCAGTGATGTGCCTGGGTTCCTGGCAATGGGGCCCGTCTGAGACATTCCAGATGAATTCTTGGGTTCCCAAACAATTAAGTTCGATAGTTGGTTCCGCAATGATCCACCAGATCAATGCTGATTGCGGCGCTGGGTGAACTTCGGCGGATCAAGTACCCGCAATTTAGGGTTGCCCTCGGCCATCGTCCGCGTTGCACCGCGCAGTCCGGTAGTGGTGTTCCTGCAGGCCTGCAAGGTGATCGTCCAGGCGAATCACGATCCGTTCAGGGCCAGGGACGGGGAGGAACACTATCGATCCAGTCCCAACGCCAACAAGCACGTTCCAAGTTTTCTGGAAGACAGCAGTAGCAGTGAAAGGAAACGGATTCCGCCGACAGCCAGCTTGGTATCCGAGCATTGCAGCCTACCAGCTGATGGCGCAAGCCTGGAGCCAGCCAAGGTCGGAGGCATTCTAAAACAAGCTAGTGCCGCATTCACATTAGGTCATACAATAAAATTTTAAAGTCTTAACATATACACGGAAATGAAATCATTAAATGAAATTATGTCTCGTAGAATGAAATTGGTTTACAAAAAAAATTGCACGCCCCACGGCGGCGTCGCTAGTCACATCGTCACGTCGTTCTCCATCGCCTACGAATCCAGAAGCACCGGGTTCTGCACCACTGGGTACTTGGGGAAGTTAGGCTTGTATACGGCCTGGCAGCGTCCGTTGTAGGCGCCGGTAGTGCTCATCTCGATCGCCAGCTCGTTGCCTGGAACTCCCAGGCGAGCCAAAGGACCGTTAACGGGTTGAGCTTGGTCCCATCCGGGGCCGGCGCTGGGCTCCTTGATCCAGGCCACAAACCAGTCGTTCATGTAGTCCGCCAGCTCCTGTTCGGCGGTGGTAACGTCGCTCAACTTGGAGAAGCACTCATTACCACCGTGGAAGAAGGGCACCTCGCTGCCGTGGGAGGGGCCAATGCCGGCGACGCCAATCACGTTCGAATAGTTACCAAACCAGCGGTAGATCCAGGTGGGCTGCTCATTCGAGCGCACGTCGACAAGGTAGTCGGTTGAGCAGAGGAAACGGGCATCACCGTAGCAGGCGCCGCTCTCAAAGGAGACGGACGAGTAGTCAGAGCTGTTATACGCATCCAAGAGCTCCTCGGACGGCACCCAGGCAACATCCGCGTCGAAGGTGTGGATCCACTCGGTGAAGTTGGTGTTTTCAGAGGCATAGGCATAGGCAAACAGACGGCCCTCCTGGTCAGAGTTACCAACCATAAGAGGCAGGGACTTGGGGTAGTGGCCTTGAGCAAAACGGTCGGTGTAGTTGGAGAAGCGGGTGATGTTGTCGACAACGGGGGAGAACCAGGTGTTGGAAGTGGAATTGAAGTAGGTGGTCTGGAAGGCGTAGGTATCAACCTCGCGCAGGCAGTCCAGCGTGTAGTTGCTGGCATCACAGCCGAGCGTCACGTTGGCTGCCAACATATCCTCAACGACCTGAGCCAGAGCCACGCCGGCCGGGGCATAGGCCGGACCGGACTCAGCGTTGGCCGACATCTCCACGGCGCCAGCCAGGAAAGTCTCCGGGTGATTCCAGAGGTAATGGTCGACGTGCACACCGCCAGAGGAGTGACCACCCAGCACGATGTTCGACTTGTTTCCTCCGAAAGCTGCGTCGTCGGTTAGTAACAGTGACTAACTGGCAATGGAACTAGAAAGCATACCTTCGATGTTGTCATAAACCCACTGCACGGCCAATTCAACATCCATGATGCCAAAATTTTGCGACTGGCCCTCCAGTTCCGGGGCATTAGGCGAAGCGTAAATGCTCTCGCGGTAGTTGAAGTTGACATAGATGACGTCCTTGCGGGCGAAGTTGTAACCCTGCCATTGGGCATTACTGCTGCCACCAGTAACCATGGCTCCGCCGTAGATATAAACGAAGACGGGCAGATCACTACCGCTTAGCGGAGTCCAGATGTTCAGGCTGAGGCAGTCCTCGCTCTGGGCCGTGATGGCGGTGCCAGACATGGCCTGCGCGCACGAGGGGCCATAGGTGGTAGCATTGAACTCGCCTCCGGCAAAGCACGACAGAGCCTTGGGGGCCTTCCAGCGGTTTTCACCAGCGGTCGTCTCGGCAAACGGGATGCCCAGGAAGACATTGGTGTCATTTTTCTCGAAGCCATGGACGAGACCCTGGGAGACGGTGACGGACGGGGCCGTGGCCTGGGCGGCACTGACCAGAGCCAGGGCGGTGGCGGTCAGGCCCAGGGCCTGGTCAGCAGTCTTGCGCATCAAGCCCATACTGGAGAATGGCAGTATAGAAATTGAGGATGAGGCGTGCAAGAACAAGAGCCGGCATGATGATGGCCACGCAGCAGGGGGTCCCTATTTAAACGGGTCGCGGGTGAAGAAGGGAAAAGCCGCGCCCGGAAGGCGTGGAATTTGCTCCGAAGGAGAGATTCCATGGTTCTCCACCCGCGCCGCCGTTCCGCTAACTGGCACCACTCCACCAGGGCGAGACCAGGTCTAACTTGATTGGTACGGCGAGTCGATGGATGCGAGACGAGGCCAGTCAGAATCAGCCGATTCAGTGGAGGTTAGTCCATGGTGCCATTTCCGGATGCTGTGTATCGAGTATTCTGTCGTCGGCGGGGGGGTCTCTCCCACGTGGTGGACAGAGCTTGGCGTGGGAGGCGCGAAACTATCGATTCTCGAGTCAGTCAGAGACTTCCTATCAGGCCATACTGCTGCCTAGATGCAATGGAGGGGAGAGCAGACCAGGGAGGACTGTGACTAATGGATATTGCTGGGGATGGGTCGTGCAGAGATACGAAGTATGTTTTGCTGGGGGTTCAGAAGTCCCTAGAAGCAATACCAGAGGGGTGGAGAAACAAGAGGTGTCATTGGTGGTACTCGAGTGAAGAACGATGAAGTAATAGTACTATTCGCTGAGAAGGAGAGTGGAAGGTGATGAAGAAGCAGCAGAAGTTGATTGTAATGTTGGAAGTTGGAAGGTGGAAGGTGGGAAGAGGGAAGTCAGTGCCAGTAGTTACCGGTTGGAATGGCCACACGTGATGGGGGTTATTTACTCGGCCACGTGCTGCTGGTCACTTCCTTCTCCCTCTGTTTCCCTCTCAGTCTACTATCATGTTCACAAGAGGATACCATTCAGAGTATCTCCTGGGAGATCTGCCGGCATCACACATTTCAGTCCTAGTCAATCCCGTCTTCCGAGGTCTCCACCATGCAAGGAACCGGCTGTTCGTCCCATTGCCATGTGGTTCGGTTATCGACACTGGACATCCACAAACGTCCACCCCAATCAGGTTTTAGTAAAATCATGATGTTGACAAATACTTCCAAAGGGTTATCTATTCGTTCGTCGACCAGCCTGCCCGCCATGAACTGAAGGATAAACAGAGTCAAAAAAGGGAGAGGGTCCGCGCACCTCGCGGAGTTTACCCAATTCGGTACCCGCCGAAAACAATGCAGCGAGACGAGGTCAGCCACAGTGTTATACTTGATGGCAATCCTGCGAACGATGGAAGAGGCAGCCATCACGACGTAAAATTTGGAGATAAGAGAGCTTCACACGATTGTGCTAGATCAGAAATAGACGGCAGTTCCGACCCTAGCGGGATTGAACTATTTTTTCGCGACCTGCACAAGGGATCACTCATTTGTGGGACCTCTTACATCCCATCGACCTGGTTCTGGAACGAAAGAAAGCCTTGACATGATTCATTCGCTCAACAAATCCTGGGATCTTTAACCGAAGAGGATTGAACGACATCCGCGAGAAGCAATTCCAACTTAGCCCACGAGGCTCACCGAGATGTTACCGTTCGTGACAGCCATGAGCATGTTTTCTAAAAAAAAAAAAAGAAGAGTAAACTCCTCACCCCCCACCCCGATAAAGGGGTTGTTCAGCATATGAGATCTATAGCTGTTGTCAACGGGTTACTCCTGTAAGCGATTACCGGTCATACAGACCGAACGGCTGGCCCCCGAATGTTACCAAGTCTTTGATCTGGTTTGCCCTCTAGTCAACACAGCGTCTCCCAGGATTATTCACCAAAAAGCAATCCCAGTGATGGAAGGGAAGCCCTTGGCGGTTGTATTAAGGCAGCTTATGAGCTGGCGATAAGATTAGTAGGGCGCCTTTACTTCTTTCATCTCCCGATGAGGCACTGCGATAGGGCACAGTATGCCTCAGGCAGCACATGTACATCGCGATCCCACATTCAGCTAGAGAGTCTTCATTCTGAACCTCAGTCGATCATCTTCAATCTTTTCCGCTCTTACGAACTATCTGTCGCAAGAAAAAAAATTCTAAAACTACAGTTTAATCGAAAAGAATCATGATATAGCCCGACGGTAAAGTAGAATTACTTTTCTAGTCGTCCTTGTCGGAGGGGAAAAAGTGTCGCAACCAGGTGGGTATTCAAGGGCTCGGATCTTGAAGCCTATCAGTTATTTGTGCTTTCTTTGGCTAATTAGAATGTAAAGATTAAGTCGACGTAGTAACAAAGGCTCTTTCACGGTCAAAGAACCTAAACATGACTGTCTGTCATCTACTTCGCTTCCTTGATGTGGCTAGTCACACGGCAAGAAATCTCAACCACTGAGACGGACACAAGACAGGGCCAGAAATCTCCAGTAGGCTCATTATACCCAAGTAAGTGTTCTGAGTCCACCCCGGCACTCCTGGAAAAATAGAAAGTGGAGACGAAACAGCATGAGAGAGGAAAACCTAATATCGAACAGCTTGCTTGGAGAACTCGTAACAGCCACTCCAAGCCCCATCGGACATGCCGTTCAATGTACGAAGTTGCAAGATGTGAAGCATCACAGCATTCTTCAAATCACATACCAAACCTGAGAAACTTGAGGTTGAAATCATCTATTTATCATCACGGCCGCTCCAGCCTATCTGGATTTGGCGGCTTAGAAAAGCGACGCCAGAGAAGGGAAACCGCCAGACGTGGACGAGCCCAGGCCAGATAGACCACTCAGTCCACCCAGTCCTGTTGCGGACGAGGACTCCGAAGAGGAATCACCGGTCGAGGTGCTCGAAGAGGTACCAGATGAAGACGAATCGGTCAACGAAGAAGTGGTGGTGTCGCTGAGCTTAGATTCCAGCCACTGAGAAGCTTCACCCGTGTTCATGACATAGGTGAAATGTGCGGCGGTGACGATAAGGGTACCATCGCAGACCATATCACCCATGGCACAGTAGATCTTGACCTTGTCCTTGGGGAAGTTGCCGATTTGACCTCCCTCCTGGGCATTGCGGGTGTAACCAAACAGCACAACGCCCTTGATCTTGTCCTTGACGTCGTCAGAAAGCTGCTTGATGGAGTCGTCCATCACGGCTGTTCCTTGACTATATGAAAGTTAGCAGGTGCACAAAAAAGGGTCGGAGGGTATTGAAGAGTCACTAACCTATACCCACCAGCCAGGATCTGGCTGTTAGGGCACTTCGAAGCAGCCAGCTTGAAGAGACTCTCCGCCTCGCTGATGGCAGCCGGGGAAGTGTTGTCTGGGAGTGCATTCGACATGAGATCAGCCGTATATGCGGGCCCCACGCCCTGGCAGAGGACCTGGCCAGCTTTGGCCATCTTGAGGTCGTTGCACACAGCAGGACCAGTGGAGATACCCTTTGATTCTCGTCAGTATTCGAGTGCTTGATTAGGTAAAAGGAAGTTTGTTACTTACGAGCAGGCCAGGCTCAGTAGATGCTCGGGCAAAGATGAAAATAATGGGCTTGCAAGAGCCCTCGCGCAGTTCGTTGCCATCAGAAACTATACAATTAGCCGGGGTCGCTCAGAGAAAAGGATGATGGTATCCGCTTACGTTGACGTTCAGCAAGTCCCATGGGACTCGCAGCAGCAAGACCTGCCAGCCCGACCAGAACGGATAGAAGCTTCATTATGATGTTCACTTGGTGCTTTGAGAAAGAAAAACTTCACTAGTCGATGCCCATCACCTGGGCAGCAGGGCTGAAATTTATCTTTCAGGTCTTTCCCACGCGCCCAGCACATCACATGGCGAACCCATTAGTGTGCCGATGCCCAGAGAAATAGGCTAGTTTCATTGTTTCAGGCAGAAGTATTGATATAGAGTATATAGAGGCTCCGGGCAAAGGGACCGACCAATTTTTGCAAACCACGGGCCAACGAAGGGGGACGAACCGTGGACTGAGGGTTGGCATCGTGGCATGCCGAGGACCCTAAATTAGGGGTCCTGGTGCCGGCGCACCAACGGCGTGTTTCACATCCCGACCATGTTTTTGGGTCGCCTACTCCAGGACCCTGCCTTTGAGGTTAAGTTCGCCGTGTTATTCTTCGAGAAACCTCGACAGGTACGATTGCCAAGCAATCAATGCATGGTTTTCTCGACCATAAGTGGTTTCAAGTAAACAAAGTCCCTCGGACCCAAAAATCAGCCACGGTCGATCAACCGGGCGATCCGACCACGCCCTCGTCTCGGTGGACGGTTCAGGGTCACAGAACATGGAGAAATGCGAGCCTAATGCTGTTAACGTTTCGTTCGCATAATAAACTTTGTGATTCAGGCACGGGTAAACATCGTTGAGCAAAACTCTTACGCTGATGTCATTTGTATGGGTCGTTCCAGAGTCATTTTCTTTCTTAGCCGGTGAAGAATCCAGCTGTGACTACCATCACCATAGTGCTATAGTTTGATACGATCACCCCCTGTCGGAGCCTGCCGACACTGCAGACCCTTAAGGGACAATGTCAAACTTACTTCGATACCATAATCATGGTTCGCTTCAGTTCGCGCGTTTTCGTGTAGCAGACAGAAACCCCGTTTACCCGAGGTCCGGCCGAGCCTAAAGAAAGTCTGGTAGTTACCGGGTAGATATGAGTAAGTATCGCAATAGCACACTAGACGCATCTTCTTTACGCTTTCTACCAGAATAGAATGCATTAGTACCTGGTACTGGAACTTCGAAGTCCATTTATTGCTCTAAAACAATGCCAGAAAACACATTATAATGTGTGTGCCCGCGAAACGCTCTATCGCAAGCGAGAGCAGAATTAGGTTCGCAGCCATTGATCACTGAATAACATCATATATAGTCTACCCACACGCGCAATGTGAGTCGAGTCCGGCACCCCTTCCCTATACCTCCTCCACTTCCGTCGCATGTGCCTCCTTTTTCTCTTCGAGGACAGAGTCACCTGGCACTCCAGGGACGTCATAAGCTGCAAAAAGACAAATTAGTCACGTTGTTGCCTAACAATAAGCAAGGGAAATGTTTGTCATACATTTGAAGCTGCGGGCGGAGACACCATTCTTGAAGAGGATTTGTATCTCTTCCAACGTGCGTCCGGACGTCTCCGGAAGCAAGAAAAATATCCAAACTGTTGCTGCAACCATCAGGCTACCGTAGATGAAGCCGACTCGGGCGCTTAAATTGGCTGCATCGCTGTCGAAGAGATATGGGAAGGTAAAAGTCACCATCCAGCTGCAAAACCAATTGACTCCCGTCGACGTAGCCATCAACTTGCTGCGGTTCGGTCCGGCAGCAATCTCCGAAGTAACGACCCAAACGGCGGGGCCCAGGGAAAGATTATACACGATCATGTAAATGTATACCATAGCGACGATCAATCGGTCGAGAGTCATAGTTTTATGGGATGCTGTTCCGGCCCCGCCGACAATCAGAAGCACGATGGCAACAAGGACGCACGAGAGAAGAAGCATAGGGCGACGGCCAAAACGTTCAACGCAGTATTGGTTCAGCCATACCGCGGGCATGGGGACCAGATACAAGCCCATCTGGATCAGGAATGAATTGGTCATTCCAATAGCCGAGAAGAACACAATTCCGTAGCTGGTGATGAAATTGATTCCAGACGCTTGTTGCCATGCTGATGGGAGGAAGACATTTAGTATCGGAAAACAAAAGAAGGAGAAGGGCTTTCCATCTTACCTTGTAGTGCCATGCCCAAGTATGCTTTGCGACCGTCCTGATGCCAGTGTAGTAGCTCCCTCCACGAACCTTCAGCGCGACGTTCTTCTTCGATTGTCCCGGATATGTACAAAATCTCGCTCTCGATCATGTCGGGTCGATTGCCGTGCAAGCAACGGAGAGCTGCACGGGCTTGCTCCGTCTTCCCCTTCTTCAAGAGCCAGCGAGGTGATTCGGGGGCAAACAAGATAAGCCCCGGGACCAAAATGACTGGGAAGACCAGTTGAACCGCCATGGGGATCCGATAAGCGCCGCTGTCGTTCCGATTCTTGGTCGCATTGTCCACGATGACACCCAGTAGCAGTCCAAGACCAACACCGAATTGGTACAGAGAAACCAGAGCCCCACGGAACCGGGCCGGGGCACAGTCGGCGACATATAGCGGAACCAAGCACGAAATCAGACCCACGGCATACCCTACGCATCGGTTAGTAACAGTTGTAACGTATCGGCGACCGCAGCGATGGTACAGCCTCGGACATTGAATTAAGTACCGACCTAGGAGTAGCCGCCCAACAATTAAAAGAGCAAGTTTATCGGCGGAGACCTGAAAGATCACTCCCAAGACAACGAATGTGCTTGAAACGAACAAGCCCCCTCGGCGACCGATTCTGTCATCGACAAGGTATGAGGATACGGCTCCGACGAGCTCACCGACATTGATGATACTGGTGGTGAGAGACTGAAGGCTGGAGCTGAGAACATAGTCGCCGGTTGCACTGTCATAATGTCCATAGGCTTTGATAAAGGGCTCCATCACCAGTATACCTATAGGGATGTGTGTTAGCGTACTGTAATCAAAGCAGGTCCGCCAGTATCATGGTCTTCAGCGGATCGCTGGTCAGCAGAAGGATATAAGCTACACACGCACCAGAGTAATAGGACGAGTCGAAGCCAAATTGAAACGCTGCGATGGTGATGAACAGGCAGATTGCAATGGCACGCCAGTCAGCTCGGGCGGCAGCTGCGGCCGACATTGAAGCCGTCATAGTGAAGAGAGTATTTAGACAGCCAGACGGATAACCGAATTGAACGCACAAGGAGAGAGTAAGACATTGTGCAATGGGCGCTGTCAGGATGTGCTTTTTATATTGAGGCAACTTGGGGATGAGTTTATCCTTTCCACCCCAGATTTTTCTCGTCCCCAAAGCCGGGGTTGCGGAGAAGCCCTGTCAGCCGACCGAATGGATGAGATCCCAGCCGTAAAGAAGGAAATTGGCCGAATGCTAGCAGCGTAATTCACCGACTAGAGTTCACCGGCGCGGTCCGAACAGCGATGCTGATTGGGTATGGGACGGATTAGCTTGGGATGCGGACGGCCGCGAACAGCAAACGGAAACAAGGGGGTTCCACCCTAGGGATGCAACTCCACGATGGTCGATCCCGACAGGTATAAATCATTAGCCGCGCCGACCATGTTTCTCGGGATCGCAAACACCTGTTTATTTCTATTCCTTGCTTCACACGGACACTATGGCTGCTGCAGTGCGTCAGCTTCGGGTGCCCGAGGATCCTGACCAGGCTCCCGCCTCGTCCAGCGACCCAGTAGTCGTCATTGTCCCAACGCAAACCTCGCCCTCATATCCTCAGCGGGTGATCGGTCGAAAATCACCCATCTCGGGAATCGAGGAGTTTCGAGGGATCCCGTATGGGACTGTGCCGGCGAGATGGCAGCATGCATTGCTCCGTGATCGCTTACCCCGGGATGAATTTGATGCAACACGAAACGGGTAGGTCGACATGTTGCTTCGGGGTGTGCAGGACTATAGCCCGCTAACTTCAATACCTGTGCGTCAGTCCTCGCTGCCCTCAGCCGCAAGAACCTAACAACACCGACGAGTTTCAATCTCATCTCGAGTTCCCGGCCGACGTAACAGAGTCCGAGTTCGACTGTCTCAATCTGTTCATAACAAGATCCAGTGCTGCGATCCTTGCTGCAGCCGGTTTCAGCGCGCAGGGAGTGAAACTGCCAGTATATGTGTATATCCATGGAGGAGCGTATAGCTTCGGTGCTGGAACAGACCCGATGTGGGGTAAGTTGCTAGCTTGAGGAACTGGTGTAATCAGTCACAGTACCACTGACTGCCTAATAGATCCGGCTCGCCTCGTTAAGAAATCGGTTGAGCTAGGCACTCCCATAATCGTGGCCACCATCAACTATCGTCTCAACATGTTTGGTTTCGCGGCTTCATCCGAGATCATTCAAGCCCAACCGGAAGGTCAAAGGAAAGGGTGCAACTTCGGCCTGAGCGATCAGCGAACCGCTATTCGTTGGGTGCGTCAGAACATCGGTGCTTTCGGCGGTGATGCCACCCAGGTCACCGTCGGAGGTCAATCAGCGGGTGGAAGCTCGTCGCATGCCCACGTCTTGGAGGCTATTCTTGGCAAAGGCAAGCCTTTGGTTCAGCGAGGAATCATTCAATCGGGAACTCTTGGTGTGCTAGGTCCCATTTCGATGGACGTCTCTAACGCGCGCTGGAATGCTTTCTGTCAGCATGCAGGAGCTCCCGCAGGCGATGCTATTTCCCGAATGGCTTTCATGGCTAACCTTCCGCCAGCGGAGATCTTGCAAGCAGCTGGCAAGTTGGGTTCCATTGTCTGTCCCTTAGTGGAAGATGGTCTTACAATCTCAGAAAGGCCAAATGGTCGCTGGAAGGTTCACCTTGATGGCCCCGAGAGTGAATCTGTTACAAAAATACCGGCCTCGAAGACCGAGGTCATTCCGATTCTAATCGGTGATACCGATGTCGAGGTCAGTCAGTCCATCGCACGGGGTCAATATCATATGCTTACAAAGAACAGGGTCTTTTACATATGAACGAGGTAAATAAAATCAGAGATTATGAGCATCTGAGCGAACAACTATATGCAGGGGTGGAGTCTAGGGAATTCTTGGAACAATTATACCAGGCCTACGGCTTTCGGCCAGACACTTCCGCAACGGAGCTGAGGAAACGGGTGCTTCAGCTGTTGACGGATATACAGTTCGGATATCCTGTGCAATGTGCAAGACAAGAACTAAAGGATTGGGAGGTGCCCATGGAAAAGCTTACAGA